CTGACAAATTCCTAGCCTGTATTGTAGCTTTCACTCCTTTTCCTGTACGGTCAGATTCAGAATGTTCGGTTTTCCATGACACTTTTAATATTATGCTTTTGATGTTCTGCAAAGCCACCCACTTAAAAATTTATATAGCCCCAAGCAGTCATAAAGTGTGTTTCCTTCTATGCTCTGTAGTGACAAAATTGTTTATCCTCTTTCATGTATAATCACTATATTTTTGCACTCGTTCATTTCGGCTCTGATGTTTCATCTGTTAGAGGTAGCAGAACAATTAAGCAACCGCTCTCTGATGACTGCTAGGTGGATTTGCTGTAGCAAGTCCTGAGGACTTTAGGAAATGAGACACTGGGATGTTGATATCTAATGTTTTTGTCTGGAACTCCACCAATCAAATACATGAAATAGTGTGGGGAGATTTTCTAGGTCCTACACTGCTTGTGGAGCACATTGAAGGCTCATTGCAACACACTTAAATTCCTTATTTCCTATCCTGTTGCTCTTTATCTTTCCACTTGCTGTTCTTGTTTCTCCCTACCTACACTATAGAAAACCTGAGCACTCTATTTATTCTGTGTCTCCCTTCTTTCGAGGGAGCTGCTGCTTCTGGTTTCTTCTCCTCTTCCTCCTCTCTGCTGTTATTGCTGCTGGAAAAATTGTTGGGCCTGCCTAGAGGCCACTGAAGCAATTACTATCCCTGTCTCAAGTTCTGCTTTGTTTTTAGGGAAGTCTGCCATCTAACAGCTGGTGATTTTACTGCAAGCTACCAACAAATTTTAATTAATTACAATTAATTACTGCATTAAAACAATAACCTTAAGGCACAATCTCATTGGGGATCTTCTTATTATTCATGCCAATTTCTAGGTGTCTAGATTTCTGCTATGGCAGAGAAGACACACATAGGCACATGTGCTCTTTGACAATTATACGTAGATAAGAAATCATACGATACGATTGTTATTATTAACCTACAATTACAATAGCAGTTGTGGTGGTAGTGGTTGTTATACATTTATTATTCTTAACCCAAAATGTTTGTTTCTTACATTAATAAAGAAAATAATTGTGGTATTGGAAGATGAGTGAGCTTTTATGACTCACATCAGCCTGGATTTTTTTTCTCCTCAATTTGCAAACAGCTCATTTAATCAGCAAACCGTTCTTAATTACATTTTTGCTAGTGGTGGAACTAGGCCCTCAAAGGCTTCCCCATCTCAAGGCCCTCAAAGGCTTCCCCAGGCTGAAAGGGATCCTAAGCCAGGCTTGGAACCTTGTCAGGGACAGAAATAGGGAACTTTAACTAAAGATAAAAGGCTACAGCCGATGACATGATCTGCCTTATGCATACAGAGTTGTGCCAACAAGATTCTAGCTAGTATCTTGATCTTATCTGGATAGGAGTATTCTGGATTGTATGTAAATGGTGACATTAACAAAGGTCACAGTATTTTCTTCTTCTCACTTAGGAAAACTGACAATTGGAACAGAATTCTTTCTGTCAAATAGGGCAAATCAAATTCTGTGCAGCTTCTCCTTCACTGGTTGAAAGCCGTAGTACCATATGGAACCTCTTGGACCTGGGATGGCTTGTGTCTAATCTCCAGAGCCAAGGGTCATAAGTTAAAGAAACAGGCTTAAATGAAGCATATGCCATAGTCAAAGTGATGCACTTTCCTGTTCCTGTTCAGCTGTCCCACAACCTCCCATCGCCTCTCCTACACATGTAGAAGTAAAAAAAAAAAAAGACTTGTCAAAAAGTACATGTTTAGCAGAAATAGTATTTCCTCGGTCTCCTTTTCAGAGTCATCTGTGCATGCTCTCAAGTCCTCCATAAGTAAGGGGCATCAAATGATCCCATCAGTTCTGACATGAAAGCAAGCGCCTGCGAAAACTGTTCAGCTCGATTGACAAAACCAACACTGTAACACAATGTCTCAAGTGTTTGTGAACCTCCCTTTCTCCTCCAGGCTACACTGGATTCAAACTCATTATCAGGTTCCAAGTTTTATCAGGTTACTTCACCTTCCTGTATTGTCCATCAATGGGTTGGGTCCCCACTGCTTTATACAGCCATGATATGCAGTCACGTACCTTAACTTTTAGATGTCAGAAGCATTTACATCACCTTTGCTTTCTCTGCCTCTGGAGTTGCATCAGACTGAGGGTTCTAAGGCTCAGGGTCACTGGGAGGTTGGTTGCACTATGGCATCCCTTGGCCAGCTAGTGCAACTAATTCTCCTCCCTTCCCAACTCTTCAGGATCCCTGTATCCTGCCTTGACATGCTGAGTCTTGAGGCCCTGGTATCTCGAAGGATTTAAAACTATACAGAATTATGAACTTCACTTAAAAGAGTGGTTGCCTTCTTCTCTGGTGTTCCCTAATGTAACTTAGTAAATTCTGTAGCCTAAATAACTAAAGCCATCTAAAGTAATCTAATCCAACATTTTTGTGTGATTTCTGAAGAACAGCAATGTAAGTACTATTAGAATTATCTTGGTTTTTAGCTTTACCTTATCTCTGTTCTGTTTGCATAGTCTTTACTCCAGTTTAGTATTCCTGGTTTGCACCTTCTGCCATGGGAAATATCTCTGGAGCCATTTTGAATGTCATATGTAGTTGGAGAGCATGTGTAATAATAGCAGAAGAGCACATCTCAGTGAAAGTGCAGTAAATTTTCCATATCACCAAGGTCCTCAACCAGCCTTCCCATCATAATATGAACTTTTTAAAAAGCGATTTTTTTCAAGTTGGATTTCCATGTATATCTTTCCATTGTAAGCAAAGCTATCATCTTTAGAACCTAAGCTGCAATTGGAACATAATCATAAGCAAAAGCAGTCTCTTCTAATAATAATTCCAACTGAACTGGAGAGCTAGATAATGCTGGCTTTGCATGCTGTGCAAATATAGCTTGTTCTTAGAGCTATAACTTTTGACTGACAACTTTCAAATTCTGTAAACCCAATCTTTGTCTTTTACCGAGGGAAAAATATTTCAGATGTGAAGAATACCCCATTGCAATGTTCCATAATTTGATGGATAAATATACATGAGACAATGTTGTGTCATTGCAAAGTTCCATAATATGAGGGATGTTTTTACCCATATAAGGTGTTCTCCCCCTTCAATGTTCCATACTACTAATTTGTGCTTGTTATGTGCCATCAAATTGCTTCTGACTTATGGCGACCCTATGAAGGAGCAATCTGCAAAATGTCCTGTCCTCAACTGTCCTGTTCAGCTCTTGTAAACTCAAGCCTGTGGCCTCCTTTAGGGAGTCATCCATCTCATATTTGATCTTCTCCTCCTGCTGTTTTTCACCTTTCCCAGTATTATTTTCTTTTTCAGGGAATCTTACTTTCTCATGATGTGCCCAAAGTAGAAGATAGAGAGATAGTTCAGATTTGATCTGATCTAGGATCCACTTGTTTGTCTTTCTGACAGTCCAAGGTATCCATAAAGCTCTCCTCCAACACCACATTTCAAATGAATCAATTCTTTTCCTATCTGCTTTCTTAGCTGCCCAGCTTTCATTTAATAATAATAATACATGGTTATCAGAAGTACAATAGTGCGCGCTGCCCAGCTTTCATACCCATACATGGTTATCAGAAGTACAATAGTGCGGATGATCTTGGTCTTGATCTTCAGTGACACATCCTTGCCTCAGATATTTTCTAATTCCTTCATTACTGCTCTTCCTAAGCCTTATTCTGATTACTTGGCTTCAGTCTCTATTAGGATTGATGAGCCCTATTCTGATTTCTTGGCTTCAGTCTCTATTAGGATTGATGATTGAATCAAGGTATATAAAATCTCTGTTTCAGTTTCTCCATTGTCAATGTAAAATTTATGTAGTTCTGTAATCATGATTTTCATAGCAGTCACCATGCAATAGATACATAAACAATGGGATGACTATAGCACAACATATTTAGTGGGGGATGGGAGAGGTTCCTGCCAAGAGTGGGCCTGTTGGAGAAAAGTCATTGAGAGAGACCCTAAAGCAATAGTTCCTCTCTCCAGATAGCAGTTTACAGAACTGAGACAACTAGAGTATACCAGAGAGCAGGTGCGCAGCAGAGATGGTTTGCACAGTTAGCCCAGATGCATGCTGCCAAGATACACACACACCCCAAAAAATCCCACCACAAAATAACTTTTCAGTGACTTCAAGTGATCTAAGTTGACTTCCATGCAGCAATCTGCTAGATGCTGCACTGCCTGAGAAGCAACAACAGCGTCCCAACACTGAACATCAGAGAGCTCTGAGGAAGCAAGGCCTCACCAAATCGGTGCTAAGTGAAAATGTTAGGAATCCAAATTAGAATGCCTCAGGTTTGGATAAGCAAGGTATGGACATGAAACAGAACAAAGGGGGCGGCGGTGGCGGCGGTTTCCTGATGCATTTGTTTCATTTTGGAAACTGATGCATCAGGAATTCCCCATTGTTCTTTCTCGTTATTTATGCCCATATCTTGTTCATGTGTTTCACTTTGGAAACAGGACTAGATAATTTGGAGCTGCAAAATCCTTGTAGAAATTCAGATGAGGAAAATCTAGGGAGTGCCCCAGCACTGGCAGTGGCTGAGAATGGGCATCAGGCTTGTTACAACTGACTGAAAGCATACATACATATACATTTATTGTGTGGAACAAAGGCTGTTGCAAAGTACATCAAATAAAAACAACACAATACAGTACAATTCAATACAGTATAGTATGAGGGGAGGAAACCCAAATCAAGTTAGATTTCTATCACAGCTAAAAAACTCTAACGTCCTTTTTTTATAACCCTAAGGAAAACTAAGTGAAGGCAGTTGATAGACAGTATCTGGTGCCAATAACAAGCATCTATTGTGGAAGGGAGAAATAATAATAATAATAATAATGAACCCTAAGTGAAGGCAGTTGATAAACAGTCTCTGATGACTGAGAGCACAAATTCAAAGTATGGCTCATAACCATCCACGTTTCTTCCTTTCTTTCTCAGAGACAAGGAGCAGGAGCAACAAATGGAAAAGACAAGGCTGCCGGAGAGAATGGTAAGACCTGGTCTGATCATACTTTCTGTGATGACTCCCGTGACAAAATTCTACACAAAGAAATGCTTTCAAGTGGAATTCATTTGGACTAAGACTCTAAGTAAGCATGTTGAGGACTGAAGAAGTAATTAATTTACTTAAGGTAGCCTGATGAAGTGTTCTACCTAAACTACCTAAAAAGCTTGTATATTTTGTGCATTTCAAGTTGATCCTAGTAAAGTCATTGCCCACCTGTGGTTTTGAATGCAAAAACACAACATCTCCACACTCTGAGTATAAGGAAGGGCTTCTCCTTCAGAGTACAGTGAAGGAGCAGCTCTCGTGTGTGCTTTTCCAAGTGGTTGAGATTTGAAGAGGGAGAAGGCAGTGGGCAAGTCTGTATGTAGATGGGGAAAGAGAGTGTGTGGTGGAAGAGGATGCTGCCCTCAGCATATCCACTGGCAGGCCAAGACTTAAGATACAGGAGAAGCTTGCAAGTTGAGCGGGTTGGGGGACACAAGCTACTGTGGCTAACTGCCATTGCTATATGATGTCTGGGAGCCAATTTCTACTCCCACACATATTTGCCACATTCAGTCAACACGCCGTGTGTAAATAACCATCATAACTGTCATTTGTCTTTATGTGTAGTGGGGCCATTCGTTACCCACAGAAGGTGTTTTCCACCCCTAAAAATGTTTGAACCTACAAATTTTGTTGCTTCCTTGAGTAAACTGATACATCCTTCTTATGCATGGATGATGGAATTTTGGCTGAATAATTACCTCTGAACTTTGGAAGCAGGAGGACTGAGCATTGGCCACCTCACTCTATTTGCTTAGTATTGTCAGCTTGTCCACAGCTATCTTCGAAGATGTTAAGAGGGATCTTGACTTTCTTAAATGATGGAAATGGCATGTACTAATGAGAAGCATTAGAAAACCACTAATGAATTCTGCCCTAGTAAGATGCCTGTGCTAGGTTGCCTCTAGTTCCCCATTTTCTAAATGCAACAACATTTCACTTGCAGACTCAGGAGAAGAATAAATCACACCGGTGCTGAGCTGGTTTGGTTCAGGTGAATCCATGAATGAGTAAGCTAGTTTAAAACCATAAATACCTTGATAGCAAATGCCTTTTTGAGAATTTTACTTTCTGCTGTGGCTTAAATACAAAGCACTTATCAGTGAAAAAATGCAAAATAAGGGTGAATTGTGATAAAGGTAAAGGTTCCCCTTGACATTTTAGTCAGTCGTGTTCAACTCTAGGGGGCGGTGCTCATCCCCGTTTCCAAGCCATAGAGCCAGCGTTTGTCCGCAGACAGTTTCTGTTATCACATGGCCAGCGCGGCGATACACGGAATGCTGTTTACCTTCCCACCGAGGGGGTACCTATTTATCTACTCGCATTTACATGCTTTCGAACTGCTAGGTTGGTGAGGAGCTGGGACAAACGACGGGAGCTCACTCCGTCACATGGATTCGATCTTACGACTGCTGGTCTTCTAACCCTGCAGCACACAAAGGCTTCTGCGGTTTAGCCCACAGCGCCACCACATCCCACATTGTGATAACTGTACCTTAAAGAAGTAGTAGTTGTAGCACTTCAAGAAGGGTAGCAAGAAGTAAAAACCAGCAAACAGAAAGAACTAGAGGAAAAGCTCACAAGGGTACTTCTAAAGGATATCCAAATAGTACTTAGTTCCACCTCAAGAGAGAAAAAACAAAACATTTTGGGGTGCTGGCAGTGCATAAGGAGCCAGCATACATAAAAACACCTATGTATGGAATCAACCAGCCCCCTGGGCCTTTACAAATAGGTGAAGATAGGATAGGAGGAACTATGTTTTAAGGCAAAACTGTATACTGCTCCAGTTTGGTTCTTGTCCGAATAAGACCACGCAGATCAGGACCTGATTCATTCTATATGCTTTTGGATACTTTGATTGAACCTGTATTGGTATCCAAGCTAGGACTCATGTGTTACAATATGCCCAGAGAAAGCACCATTCCTGGGAATGAGAAATGCAAATGGCTGTTATAGGTTGCCCGACAGAATTAATTGTCCACCTCCAGGCCAGAAAATATGAGAAAAAGAGAACAAGACGATAAAAGATGAGAAACAAAAAGAGGCGGAGAGAAAGACAGACCTGGATGGTCTCTCTTGTACGTTTTGCAAGGCAAGAGGGACACAGGTCCAATAGGCAAATGGCTGCCTTCATGGAGAGCTCAGTGGTTTAGGTATCTGGCTATGGAGCCTGAGGTTGGGAGATCAGTACCCCACTGTGCCTCCTTGACAGGGGCTGGACTTGATTATTCACAGGGGTCCCTTTCAACTCTGCAGTTCTAAGATTATTATTATTTATTCCTCCAAGTCATCTGATTCCTTGGTGTTGGTGTCCAACCAATTGCAGATGTTCTTGGAGGAAACAGCCTAGACTCATTTCAGTCAGGGTTCTGGCTGTAACATGGAACTGAAACAGCATCAGTCACCCAGCAAGACCATCTCCTTCAGGAAACAGTCAGGGTTTTGGCCATAACATGGAACTGAAACCGCATCAGTCACCCAGCAAGACCATCTCCTTAGGAAGGCAGACAAAGGGAGTGTAACCTTCCTGGTCTTCCTGGATCTTTCTGTGGCCTTGGATACCATTGGCCATGGCATCCTTCTGAGATTGCTGTTGAGTTTAGGACTTGGGAATTCTGTTCTTCAGTGGTTCCAGTCCTTCCTCAAGGGCCAATCTGAAATGGTACAGCTTGGGGAGGCAATGTCCACCCCTTGGAGTTCCTTGGGGATTGGTTGTTGTTTTTTTAATATCCATATGAAACTACTGGGAGAAATCATGCTGAGAACTGAAGTTGTCATCGATATGTAGATCACACCCAACTCCGTCTCTCCATTTCCTCATCTGCAGATGATGTTGTACAGATCCCTGTGCACTGTTTAGTGTCAATAATGTACTGGACAAGGGCCAGTAAACTGAAACTGAATCTAGATTTTTAGTGTCAATAATTTACTGGACAAGGGCCAGTAAACTGAAACTCAGTCTAGATAAGATGGAAATCCTACCGCTGGGAGGGTTGTCAGAATTTCTGAAGGATTGGGTCCACAACTTAGGGGTATTCTTGGACTCAGCTCTTTTTATGGAGGTGCAAATATCTACTGTGGCCGAGTGCCTTTTATCAATATTGGTTTATTGCCCAGATGTGCTCCTACCTGGATACAAAATGCCTAGCAACAGTGGTTCATGTCTAAATAAGCTACTGTAAAGTACATAGGGCTGCCCTTGAAGTCAGTTTGGAAACTTCAAGTCTAAAATGTGGCTGACAGACTGCTCATAGGTACCAGCAGACATATCCCCATGCATTTTCAGTGGCTCCCTGTTACTTTCCATACCCAGTTCAAGGTGCTGGTCATGACTTATAAAGCCTTTACCTGTTTAGGACCTCGATACTTGTCAGAACATCTCTCCCACAAAACAGCTACCTGTCTCACCCAGTCCTCACAGTCCTTGATATTGAAAACAGTAACACCTAAAGAGGACAAAAGTGTTAACATCAGGAACTATGCTTTCTTGGCTGCAGTCCCTTTCCTCTGGAACAACCTTGCTACTGAGTTTCATCAGGTGCCATCTCTCTCAGTTTCTAGGAATATAATAAATTACACAAAATTATACAGAATTATACAAAGCTGCCTTTCATTAGTGATTTTAACTATTATCCTGATATGTCCAAACTGGTTTTAAATATGTTAATTCTATTTACATACAGGTTTTTAGCTAGTGACAGGGTTTTTATTGTATTTATTGTACACTGTAATTTTGTATTGTTCCTTTTAGTTACGATTAGCACGTTGTGAATTGCCGAGAGAGTTGCTCGCATTGATAGGGCCGTATAAAAATTGGAATAACAAATAAATAATAAATAATCTGTGCACATTCTCTGGCTGAAGAGGATGAAATTTATAATCAACGAAGGAGAAGTGAGTGCTTCAGTCTGTTCCACAGAGCTGGTTCTCAGTGTGGAGCCCATCAGAGCACACGCAAGCCATTTGATCAGTGACATGGTGTGCAAACTCATCAAAGGATTGCTGGTGATAGATTTCTCTTGTAGCAAAGCTGTCCATGCTGGCTAGGGGTGTTCTAGAAGTTGTGGTCCAGGTGCTGGTGACAGAAGACTCTACCTTTTGAGAAGGCGCTCACTATTAGCATGTACCATCAAATCACTCTGAACACATCTGGACTTGGCTGGTTAATATTTGAATGGGATGGTACTGGAGAGTACCAGAAATCACAAGCTAGGACTTTCCTGAAAACATCAGGAGCTGCTGCCAGCCAGAGGTGACAATTCTAAGCTAAGGGGACCAACAATGTGAGTCAGTATTTCTCTCCAGAGTGTTGCAGGACAACCTTAAAACCTTCTGCTGATCCAAAGCAGATGGCTTGGCAAGGCAGCCACAAGGAATTCCACTTTCTGGGCACAGCGGTTGCTGCTGCAGCAAAGTTAAACAGCTACACTAAACCTTGTTTTTACTACAAGTCCCCCCCCCTTGAAACTGGATTGTTCTGCATTTTGAGACTGACTCATTACAAGCTGCACGGGGTCTTCTTTTGGTTTTATTTCCCTAATAAGGCTGGGTGACTCTCTCTCTTCACTGCTGCTTATATAACACAATGATGAAACGCGATGTTCCTAATCAAATTTAATTATGCCGTTAAGGCAAACGAGAGAAGAATGAGAAGAGCCTGTTATAGGAAGCCCCCTTTCCTTTTCATTTTAACTGTTCAGAAACAGAGATGATTGCGGTGTGGTTGCTTGGCACCCCCAACAGAGTCATTCCCTTCTTTTCCTTTCCCAAGGGCCGGCTCAGACATCTCTGCCTTTACCATCTTTGGCCAAGATCAGTGGCACATCTCTCCCTTTACCATCTTTGGCCAAGATCAGTGGCCTCCTTCTTAGAAAATAACTGTAACCAAAGAAGTAGTACATGTCATCTCGTTCCCTGCTCCTCATAGCCATCTC